CCTGCGGGTTTTAGCCTAGATTCGACTTTAAAAAAAAACGCATGAGCTATGAGGAGTTAGAAAAATCGCTATATGAGGTACTCAAATCCTATACCGAATTAATCAAGCTTAATAAAAAACTACGGACCTATAGAAATGAGTCTGATATTGAAATGGTATGTAGATTATTGCCCAGCAATGGCCCTTTGGGTCTACAAACTACTCTAGAAAAAACAAAAGTAGATTAGTTGGAATCTAAGACTCTTTTCGTCTCACGTTTAGCTTTTTCTCTTTCTTTGCGATTTTGTGCAAGCCTAGCTTTTAAATCATCCATTTCAACTACTTTTTTTATTGGAATATTTACTGAATCAGATACCCAAGCAGATCTAGAACTGGACCCTGAGTTTCTTTTCTTTGACTTTCTATCTGAAGTATTATTTTCAGACATTATTTCAGAAGAAACAACACTATATATTAGTTACTGTTTGCGCAAGGGTATGCCTTCAGCATGTCTTTTCCAAATTTCATATATTCTATGAGTTGAAGTACTATATCTATTAGCCATTTCCCTGCATACATTTTTAACTGTCCCTCGAGATTGAATGATTTCCTCAATAGCTTCTGGTGATAAATAAGGAGTACTAGTACGATAATACTCTACAGTTATGTGTTCCATCTTTTTTATAATTATAAAAAATTATCGAAAATTATTGAAAATACTAAAATACTCCTATTTCTCTTATGTTAAAAAATGATCAGTAATCATAGGTAATTATATACTTAATATTCAATAATTTTCTAAAAAAATCGGTAATTATCTATTGTTGAATTATATTGGAAGTGTAATTTCTTTGATAGCATTACTAGATAATTATAGCAGAGCTAGACTCGAAGAGTTATTACAAGGTAATAGTGTCTCTATCACATATTTTATCATATATATATTCTATATTTTGTTATTTTTCATAATAATTCTCTTTATTTAATATAGATAATGTGATAGACTTTAAGAAAGAATTATATATCGCCCTCCAAGATTCTTCCAAGATAGTCTTATATAATGCTAAATTGTGGGATAGGTATAAAAAACAAGAAAAAAAAATTTATCGGGAGAGAGAACAATGGGATCAGGATAGAAAGAAGTGGGGTAAAAAACTGGGAGGGGCTAATACTGAGATCCAGAAATTACGCACTCATGATCTCGAACTCATTGATGAAGCTAGGTGTTTACAGATTAAAAACGCTAATAAAGACATTTCTTTTGCGAAGTCCAAAGCTGAGAATGATATAAAATCCCAAAAAATCAAATCACTCGAGTCTATGATCAAGATATTAGAAGATAAGTTATCTTCAGCACAGAAAGATGTGATTTCGATTCAAAGTGACTCATCGAAAAAAGAAACTGAGATCGCGTCACTCAAATCCAAAATAGCTGAATTAGAAAATATAAAGAGCAAATTGGAAGAGGTGAAGCCTCGAGACTATGTCTTATCAAAGGTCAATGAGGTTGAGTGTCTGAAATCGGAAACTATATCGAAACCCATAGTTGGTGGGGATGACGAAAAAAATATTACTAAGTCTGATAATATATCTTTGGGTAGTACTGATCTCAGTAAATATTTTATATGTAGAAAAAATATAGATCAAACCGAAAAAACTAATGGTAATATATTGACATATACTAATGATGAGATTATCGAACTATCAAAAAATGATACTGAGGCCAACTCCAAGGTAAGTAATGAAACTAGTATTAGCGAAATTAGTGAGGATAATATGTCCGCTTTTATTGAATTGAATTCTTAGATGAGGCCTGCTCCAAGGCTTTGCCTCTTCCTACTGTGGCAAGCACTTTGATGTCACTGCTATCAGCATATATTTTTCTTATTTTGTTAATTATCGCGGTTATATGGTTCATAGTGTTGAGACGTGAATTGAGTATAAGTAAAAAAAAAATGATCGGTTACGGGATATGTGGACTAGGTATTAGAAACTATCTATTTAAACTTGGGTATTATTTATGTACAAAAAAATATATACGATGGTAATGTAAAGATATATTTATAGTGAGCTGACTGCCTTGTTCCATATATTTAGAAAACTCTCAAGTGCTAGTTGATCTGTTTTTGATATATGAAATAAGGTAGGTTGTTCAGTAATCATCTCATTTTTTCTCATAGTCTCAGGTTGGCCAATTTTATCTGGGATTGTTATATACTCTTTATATCGCATATGATATACTAACTTATCATATTTCTCGATAATTGGGATAAATACATTTAGATGTTTCGTAAAATCAGAGCATATTGATTTTTTTATCCATTCACTTATCAAGAGATTATCATTTTCAGTATATACTCTGGCATACTCTATGAACTTTTCCCATAATCTCTCGACATTATTGGTTGTCTTAAAATCCTCAAAACTAAGCCATTCCCCATGAAATATCTTGTAGATATTATCTACCTTCTGATATAATATAGATTGTGCAGTTTTGATTGCATTCTTGTAAGCATATCCACGATTAAATATTATTTTAGAAGCGATTCTATCTATCACATTTATCTCCTTGATATATGACTCAAGCCACTTCTTGGCCTTGTTTTGAGCATATGTATCAATCTGTTTATATTTCTCATCTGAATCAGTGATTTTGTCAGTAGATAGTAGTTCATATTTTTTATCATACATAATAAATCGGGCACAAAGTCCAATAATAGTATTTTTGAAGTAATGGGATAGATCCAATTTTCTATTTAATTCTTTTGCAATATCCATGAATTCCATTTGATCAGCCTTTCTTATAGTGAGTTTAAAACTAGATAAATCAAAAACTTTATCGGGATAAACTATTACATAACTAAAAGCATTCTCCTAGATCAGGAATCTTGTTTTTATATTTTTCTTTCATCTGTCCTATAAATCGCTAGACACATTTGTTATCTACATTAGGTTTGCATGCATCGGTTTCTATAAATTGATCAAAATCCCATTGATTGGGATTGGTTATAGCCTCTTTAAGAACCTCTTCAAC